GCATTGGAAATATCAAATGGAAGATTCCATTCTTCTATAAATCGGTCCAACTCTACAAAAAGAGAGGTAGAATCCGTCACGTGTAATGAAGGATGTAGACGCGAAAAGTTTCAATGGATAGAGACTACGCAAGAAGATTTGATGGTGAGGTCCGTCAAAGAGTTGATGAGGTGCTTTGAAGTAAGATGAATTTGGATTTGTTTTGTTACCATTCTTTTAAATTATATAGATATTTATTCTCCCCATTAATATTTATAGAAGGATCTTAATGCTGGAATAAATTGTTACCCATTGTGCCAAACATTAGACCAAACATTGGGTAATATAATTGTTTTATCTCAATGTGGCTGGCCATATTGGCGCGATCGGATGTTTCGGCCAGTAGTCATACCACTAATTAAAAAATGTGGAGGATTAATTTACCCAGATCTATTGAGATTTGTAAACAGTGAGTAAATAAACTTTAATAATATACTTTGAGCATTATTAATGATTTAAAATTCATTTAGATGTTGACATTCTTCGTGAACTCTTGGCGTTGTATCATGAATTCCCGAATCTACAATTTACTTTTTGTCCAATATCGAAGAGTGACCAATCTGTTTTAACGAATATATCGATACAAAATTTAGAAAGATGTATTAATCGTCCTTTATGTAATGAGACTTTGGGTGCATTTTACCGGGAAAGGTTAAACGATAAATCATAAAATATGGTGCGAAACGTTTAGACATCTGGTACTTTAAACTGTAAAAGATTTTTATTTTTTAAACATAAATATTAAAATACACTATTAAAAGTAACCCTTCTTGAGATCTGTAATAATATTTTTTTTTTTTTAAGAGTTTTTTTTAGAAGTGAATTTTAATATTTTTAGCGCTAGTTAATTGTTATTGGTTGTTTATTTGGAGTTAAACTAAGTGTAATTTTAATATACCGTTACGCAATTTGCCCATTAATTCAAAATTTAGTGTAACATGAAATTGAATAAACTGTGATCGACGACATAACGACGCGTGATGCATGAAATTAAAATCTAACGCTATAAAAAATTTTGTACATAAGTACAGAAGTATATAATTTATATTTGATTAAATTTTGAAAAGTGGTATTTTTACATTTTTTTTGACGTTATATCCATGTATATATATAAGAAATTAATATTTTTACTTCTCTTTTCGATAATGCTACACCTTTGTTATACGTACGTATATATAATTTTTTTCATACAATTAAAAAAGCTAATTATATATCTGGTGCAAAAAAATATTATTGATAGTAACTTATTAAAAAATATTTACAATACAATTTACTATATAAATTTACTATAGTAAAAAAATTAAATTATCTAACTTTAAAGCTTAATTTTTTATAACTAATAATCTGATTTTACTTAAATTTTAGGGGAATTTACAGATAAGGGCCCAAAAAAACAAAAATAATTACAAAGGTCCAAAATGAAAATAATTACAGATAGAGGCCAATATTTGAAATTATAATTATGCGCTTAAAAACCTATGATTTAACCCCGTTTCGATGATTTGAATATGATTGTAATATAGTCATTAATTGTTAACACATAATAAAATGTAATAATAATAGGACTGGGTGAAACCCGCGTTGTAAATTAGTAAAATCCGCTACGTAGATCACGTTAGGGTGAAATCCACGCTTAGCTATGTTTTTTAATTATGCAAAAGCGAATTTCACCCTCATGTGATCTACGCAGCAGATTTTACTAATTCACAGCGCAGGTTTCACCCTGTCGTATAATAATTATTGTCACGGCTGATGCTGAATATCACGTGAAAATTTGGGCCAGAAATTGCAGATCGCATGTCGATCATGAAATTCAAAACAAACGTCTTTTTGTAAAAAATCGCTGATTTTTCAAAAATCATCATAAAAAACAACACTTTGTATACTAACAAAAAGTTTTCCTTGAGTGATTTTACTGTATAACCTTCTAAACTCTAATATTAATATAGATGAT